AAAATATGGCACTATGCTGCTTCTGCTTACCCAGTGTGTTCACATTGCATACACTACCCACTCATGAGTCCCTGGTAACTGTTGTGGCAATCATATTGGATGTATTGATACTGCATTCATGTGTTAAATAGCCCTTTCATAATAGCCCACTGATGAGTCCTAACATCTTCATCACTTCTTATTACTGTGATACGGTATAACATCATAATAAGGAAATAAGTGCAATATAACAAAATGTTTTGAGAGGGACTATATTCACATGATCTTCATTAGAGTTATGCTCTATTTTTTTATTATTGTCCTCTTTCCTCTCATTCTTCTTGTAGGTATGTATAATAAAAACACAGCTTATAGAGATTAGTACTATTTGTGGTCAGTACTATTTGGGTTCTGGTGCAAGTGAGATGAGCCTAAATAAAACTGGTTCAAAAAAGCTGGGTGCCAGTTGCTCTTGCCTGTAATCTGGAGGCTGAGACCTGAGGATTGAAGTTCAAATCAGCCCTGGCAAGAAACTGTGTGAGATTCTTATCTCAATAAGCCAGAAGTGGGGGGTGTAGTTCAAGTTTTATAGCACCAGCCTGGAGTCAAAAATCTAAGGGACAGTGCTCGGGTCCTGAGGTCAAACTCTAGTACCAGTATTTTTAAAAAGTGATAAAACAAAATAGATATAAACGTAGAGATCCAATGTAAACTTGATACTCCATCGTATCAAAAACCCTGCTCCATCTTATTCTCAGGTGTGACCTACATTCCCACAACTCATTTTATGATCCAAAATGTTTTTGTTGTGTTTTTTTTTTTTTTAAAAAACCTCCTGTAATCCTAGCTACTCAGCTTCCTAAGTTGCTGCAGGAATAGCACCAATGAACCACTAGTGCCTTGCTCCAAAATGGTTCTTGAACTTTAATCTTCAAGTCAGCAAGAAGAAAAGAAGAAATGGACCCTCTTTATTTAGGAACTTCCTGAATATTACACTCACCAGTGCTGCTTACATTATTTTGGTCAAAACTCAAAATTTATTTTGATGGCCAAAGGTAGTTTTTATTCTGATGACTATATGCTATGATTTCAATGTTTTTCCATCCAATCTCAAACTAATATTGAAATGTAATCCCCAGTACAAAGGTGTAAAGGTGCTACCAAGTATGGGTTTTGGGAGATGATTGAGACCTATGGGATCTGCCCACATGAAAGGATCAGGAGCTCTATAAAACGCTTTACTCGCTTGAACTCAAGGCCTCAATATCTGGCTTTTTTTACTCAAGGCTGGTGCTCAACGATTTCAGGCATGCCTCCACTTGCAGCTTCTTGCTGGTTGAGATTTAAGAGCCTCTCGACTTTTCTGCCAGGGTTGGCTTTGAATTATGATCCTCAGATCTCAGCTTCCTGAGTAGCTAGGATTATAGGCGTGAGCCATCAGTGTTCAGTCCATAAAAGGTTTTAATGCAGAAAATATATACTATATTGCCTATCCATCCAGTGGACTCAGCACTGTGTCCTTGATTTTTACCTTCTTACATTCCAGGACTGCAAGAAATTTCTGCTCATTATCAATTATCTACCTCAGTGCTATAGGATTTTCCTATAGACAAGGGACACCATTTGGACTGCTGAAAAGGGGCAGTTCTAACACTAATAGGGGATGGGGAAAATGTAGATAGTGTTATCACTACGAGTGTTATCACTAGGAATCTGCCACTTGTGCTTTCTAACTGCCATTTCTTTACACCAACCTGCCATTCTAGCCAAACACTTTCCTTAGTTCCATTCAACATAAGCTCTTCCAAAACACACTGGTTCACAATTTTTCCTGTCTTTTAAACTATTAAACTGGCAGCCAATCAGGTAGTTACTTTGTGATGGGTTTCCTAATGTGGCCTTAATGATTAAAGCATTATCTGAATTGTCCTCCTAGTTTAATGTCTCAGCTAGATTGAGGGAAGGACTCAGACCTATATATCCTGTGTTGCAATTGCTACTGCTTGGCATATTGCCTGGCAAATAGAACAACTAGATGACCGCACTCTGTCTTTTCTAACCATCTGACAGAGCAAAGCTACAGTCACATATTCCATTAGCAGGGAGTGGTTATATCCTGGGTGTTAATGTATGGTACTGTATTCTGTTTGGCAGTGAACAAAAAGGATTGAATAGTGCTGGAATATGACATACATATATTATGTACATGTGTACGCATGTATTATTGTGAACACAAATATGGAAAAGATAAGCCAACAAAATTAACATGTTTGCATAATTGCCTTTTCTAGGGCAGGAAAAGTAGTAGAACTGTGAAGAGGAAAAACTGACATTGTCCTTGCCTTCCTTAAAAAAAAAAAAAAGTTTGACTATATTAAGCTAATTTTGGATTTTAGTTGGAATGTGGATCACTCAGTTTTGTATCCCTGGGGCAGGCTTCAGGTTTTTTGTTTCAGTATCAATAGCAGCAACTTTCATCCATCTCCCAATACCCAGTTATTTACTGAGTGATTATATTGAG